GAAACAGCATCTAACAGAGAGGTATGGAAGAATGCAGGGTACCAGCATACTTAGAAAACTACAATTATCTTCCCAAGCACAAGCAGGCCATACAAGAATGTGCTCAGGAATTGAAAGCAGGTTCCCTCTAAGCAATACAAATAGTGCCTGAATATGAAGCTTTGGAAATGGCAGCTTTCAGATTCGAGTCAAGCTGAGTACTTCTATTCATTCCTTGCTCCCCTTTGTTCACATCATCCTAATCACTGTAGTATACTTGCATCTATCACTTTTGCCAAGCTACAGTACAGCCACAGCCTCTAACGAAATATGTTTAGGTATTCAGCACAGCACTGGGATTAAAAACCCAGTCTACCAGGGTTCAAATCTAGACTCCATAATTTGCTAGTTGTGTGACCCTAGGCAAGTTACTTAACCTGTCTGTGCTTCAATTTTCTCACAATAAAGTGAGAATAATAATTGCAGCTGCTCATCAGGCTGCTATGAAAAATGTGCTAATTTATATAAAGTGCTTAGAATAGAGCTTGACTCATAGAAAGCACCACAGAAGTGTCTGCTATTAATACTCAGTAAACATTAGCTATGTAAAATAAAGACATGTAATTCTCACAGTTTGAAAACAAACCCAAATTACTTTAAGTATGTGCAAGACCTGCACACTGAAAACTAGAAAATATGGTTCAAATTAAAGAGCTAAATACATGGAAGATGTGCGCTCATGGATCCGAAGATTCAATACTGTTTAAAGATATCAATTCTTCTGAAATTGATCTACATTCTCAATGTAATCCCAATCAAAATCTGGGTAGGCATGTTTGTAGAACTTGACAAGCTGTCTCCAAACTTTTTATGAAAATGCAAACAATCTAGGATAGCCAAAACAATTTTGAGAAAGAAAAAGAAAGAGGACTAAGACTACCAGATTTCAACTTAGTATAAAGGTATAGTAAACAAGGCTGTGTGCTGTTAAGAGAAATAAAAGCCCACATTTGTACAGAGACTTGTATATACATGTTCATAATAGCTGTATTAACAGCCAAAAACTGGAAACAACCCAAATGTCCATCAACAGGTGGATGGATTAACTGTAGTATAACCATACAAGGGAATACTGGTCAGCAATAAAAGAGAATAAAAATACACAACATACGGGACTTCCCTGATGCCGGAGTGATTAAGAATCCGCCTGCCAAAGCAGGGGACACAGGTTCGAGCCCTGGTCCGGGAAGATCCCACATGCCACGGAGCAACTAAGCCCGTGCGCCACTACTGAGCCTGTGCTCTAGAGCCCACAAGCCACAACTACTGAAGCCTGCGCACCTAGAGCCCGTGCTCCGCAGCAAGAGAAGCCACGGCAATGAGAAGCCTGCGCACCGCAACAAAGAGTAGCCCCGGCTTGCCGCAACTAGAGAAAGCCCACAACAACAAAGACCCAACGCAGCCAAAAGTAAATAAATAAAAAATAAATTTATTTTTAAAAAATACACAACATAGATGAATCTCAAGTAATCATACTGGTTAAAGAAGTTGGATCCCTCCCCCCCAAAAAAGCACTGTATATGATTCCTTTTATATAACATTCTAGAAAATACAGCCTAATCTACAACGACAGAAAACTGACTAGTGGTTGCCTAGGGACAGGGGGTGGGGAGAGCGGACTGACTGCAAAGGAGCATGAGGGAACTCCTGCAGTGATGTCTGTGGTGGTTACACAATTATAGACATTTGTCAAAACTAAACAAACTATACACTTAAAATTGGTGAATTTTACCGTATATAAATTACGTCTCAATATAAACAACATAAAGTCATAAGGCAAACCATCTTTTAAAAATAAAAACATACTTTTTCTTTCTATATTCATGGAAAGAATACAGGCAAGAATTACCATTCACTTAATGTTGTTGAGAAGTCTATATTACATTATGAGAATTTTGTAAACTTAGCATGATGATACAACCAAAAACACTGCTAATGGTTCTTTCATATCTGTGTCTCCTTTAACTAAAGAATCAATGGAATTCTACAAGAGAATTTTCCAATCCTGAACAGAAGTACTTATTCTAGTTGAAAATTCATAAGCAACACAGAGTTTAACTAGGAAATCCATTAGCAAGCTTGTAACTGGCCATAAGGTTATCTAAGCCTGACAGGTTCCAGAGAATTGAGGGGAAAAAAAAAAGTATAAAGGAGATTTAAGAACATGAAACAGCTCTTATGCTACTCAAAATTTAGCAATGCTACTCCACATGATTCTAATTCTACTCCTACATAAAGAACCCTGCAAGGATCAAGAATACAGAGATTGTTCCTTAAAGCTAGAAGTCAGTCAGTAATAGGAAGCATAAAGAAGACATTTTTATCTTATGAAGTTCTCTCAGGGGAGCACTACTTACCTGATTAATTCTCCTGAGTTAAGCTGTTTTTCTCCTTAAGTCTCAAAAAATAACAAATATTTTACTTATTTTATAATACTGTGGTTGTCTTTTAAGTATATATCAGTATTAACCCTCAATCCTTAAAATTAGAAAACAAAATCTGTACAATAAGTAATAAATGACGTAAATATTTACAAGGAGAAAAAAGGCAGTGTAAGCAATTTCCAGTTAAACAACCAAAGCAATACGTAGCATGCATACTATATGGATTTGGTTAGAACAGGCAATGTGCTACTTCATCTTCTAATTTATGCTGTCATATAAGTTAGTTCACAGCTTAAGATATTTAAGATCTCAATTAGGTTAACCTTTCCTTTTGTAAATTAAGAATACAAGTAATAATCATACTCAGTGTTTCCTATTCAAGTTCCACACACATTCACACCTTCAGGCCTTAATGGGCTCTATTCCTTCTACCTACCCTTCTACCTACGATGCCCACCTCCATTTATCCCACCCATCTAGATCCTTCCCATCTCTCACCACCTATCTTAATTGGTACATGTTCCCTGATCCCTTGGGCCAGAAGCAATCTCTCTGTCTTCTAAAATCCCATAGCCCTTTTCTGTAGTCTCTTATGGCATTTAACACTTTCTACCCTGTACTATACTTCTTTAAGTCCAGTAAACCCTTTTCTACTAGGAGTATCCTTGAAAGGAAGGTCCACACTTTATTCAGCCTTGTATCCCTAGGAGCACATAGTGCCTGAAACTAAACATTTATTGGGTGTGTTTAGAGAAGAAATAGAGAGGAAAACGTTCAACAATATTTTTTTAGGCATTCTGTGCCCCACTGCCTTAGGAGATATAAAAGGAAACAAATATCAATGATAGAGACCTGCTCTAAATCTACTAAGAGACATAGACATGTAAAAAGATTAATACAATATAACTGTGATAAGTGTTACAATAAGAGATAAACAGGGTGCTGTGAGGGGAACATTACGTATGTTGAAGATTGTTCTAATTCCACAAACTATGTCAGGAAACCAAGTCTAGATTTTTGAAGGTCCCAAAGACTAGAAAGGTTTCAAGAGTGGTATAATAAGAGCCCCCTTAATCTTAACATTTTTTCTTAACCTGAAACTAACACTCCACCTATATAGCAACCTTACTTGCAAACAGGGAGTAACAAATTTCTCTCTATTCTTGGTACAGCCCTCTGCAATAACCAGGCCTGGTCTTTTTATATTTACACAAATTTGCTCATCTCATCCTCTCACACTTGTCTCAATTGTGCACCATTTCCATAAGGCATGTGTCATTCCCATGCCCCAAACTCTGCTTATCTAAATCTATTTAACCTTTAAGGTTCTTCTGAAAGCCCACTTCCTAAGCTATCACCCAAGATTACTACATCCCCCAAATGTATATTGTACCATTACTGATATCTATACCTCTCTCTCTCTTTTTTTTTTTTTTTTTTTTTTGTGGTACGCGGGCCTCCCACTGCCGCGGCCTCTCCCGCCGCGGAGCACAGGCTCCGGACGCACAGGCCCAGCGGCCACGGCTCACAGGCCCAGCCGCTCCGCGGCACGCGGGATCCTCCTGGACCGGGGCACGAACCCGTTTTAACAATTAATGAAAATGATAAAGTTAATTCTTAACATTTTATACAACTTGGAGTTAAACAGAACTGATCTCAAACCCCATTTGTGCTACCACCTTGCAACGTGAAGCTGGGCAAGCCACAACACTCTCTTGAACCTTAGTTTCCTCATTATTAAAATTAGTATTAAATTGGGTGATGTGTACAGCATGCCTAATATACACATACATTCCTACTACATACATGTATATAAATATTTAATTTTAATATTCTTATTTAATACTCACGTTTAACGTTATTACTATTATTTTCCAAGAAGGGAGACGCAAACTCTAAAACTCAAGGCAAGAGCAATGAAACATGAACAAAGTGGGTACTAAAAACTGGATCAATTAGTTGATGTAAAGGAGCCTCACAACTTTTAAATGTGCCCTCAAGACAACTCACACAAGACACCGTCAGCAGAATTTCTCACGGCTCCGACTGAAAACCATGAAAAACTCAGAGGCAGAAAGACATAGATACAGAGGTCTTACGATGGTGGCCCTACCACTTACATACTTCCCAAGAGTTTATCTTCCTCAGTGCAACCCTGAAGCTGTATAAAAGGTCAAGGGAAGAAATGTCTTCTTTTACGTAAATTGTACATAAATTTAACATTTTTTTAACCTGCATTATCCCTCGGAGGCAAGCAAAACCACTTCTGCAAATTTCAGCCTCAGAAGAGAAAGTCCAAGTGGGATGGGGCTGAATCATCAATTTAAAATGACCAACGTTTGCCCCACCCTGGAATGGGGACACTACCGCGACCGTTTCCAGGGTTGTCCGGGACATCCCACGCTCTGCCCCCACCCCATCCTTCCTTAAGTCCTCACCTCGGACGCTTGTCCCGGCACTAGGCGCAGCCAGTCCCACCCTCGGCTCTGACCCGATGTCAGGCATCCCCACACCAGGGTCCACACCCGTCTCTCGTCCCAATTCAGACTCTTACCCCACCCAGACAACTGCACTTACCCGGGCGGTGACCTTATACACCGTGTAGCCCCTCGGGTGTCGCTGGGGCTCGGTGACAGTGTAGAAACGGGCCAGGTCGGCACCCCGCTCTCGGGGAGAGGTCATCCTGCCGCCGCCTCTGCCGCCGCCGCTTGCCGGGGACCATCAGTGCAACCCGACACCGCCGCGGCCCGGATTTTCTAAGTAGTGGCCAGGCGGCGAGGGGGCGGTAGCTCGGCTGCGGCGCCTCCGCCGCAGGGCTCTGCTTCCGGGTTGGCGGGAAAGCTTCCGGGTCAGGCCGGGGCGCCAATTCTGAGGAAGAAGTGGTTCCACCTGAGATACGGACCCTAATTAGGGCCTGACCCAGGCAAATGGGCTGGAATCAGTCAGTAGAACTGCCTGTAACGGGATGGAGGGATACCCGAGCCTAGCATCTTCTTTCCTTCCCTACTGACGACCCATCGGTTTAAATACCCACAACACCTGAACTCTCTCCCTGACATAACTCTTCCTTCTTTCAAAGACAAATCCCGTCCACCTGCGCATATGTCTTTATACCACCACAGCAAGCTCCCAAATGTTAAAAAAAAAAAAAAAAATAGAGCCTGCCTGTTAGAGTTTTACAAGGATTAAGTTGCGACCCACTGCAGTAGCCCACTGACAGTAGGCCCTGAGGGGAATTCAAGCTGGGGAAAATTAGGACGTATTCCCTGCTTTGGGTATACTAACCCTTAGATAGTTAAGATGCATATCCAAGGGAAATTTTCACAGGTTCTTGCACCTTTCCATACATAGAAAAGCACTAAAATCATTAACTTGAGATAGCTGTTCTGTGTGGTTAGCAGTAACCTTTTGATGCTTGACTTCATGTTTTTCCCAGCAAAAAAAAAATCATATATAACCTGGCTCCTCCCTTACCACTTTGGAGCAGTTTCTCAGAGCTATCTGAGAGGCTGTCTCCTGAGCTATAGTACTCAAAGCGGTCCCTGAATAAAACTGAAACTCATTATTCTCACATTGTGCTTATTTTTTAGTTGACACAGCCCTATATCAGTTTTAAACGTCATCCCTTCATGTTCTAAAAGCTGGAATCTGTGTCTGGCTGCGGAGGTCGGGTTGGGGAGTCGGTGGGAATCACCTGACCTCAGAAAGCTACTAGGAAGATAGAGTTTCCTATCTCAATTCCTTGCTATCCACTGCTTGGCAATTATTCTACCTTACTTTGATCAAGATTTTCTCTTTCCCCCATAACATTCATTCCAAGCATTTGCCATTCTCCTCAACTCTCTATTCCTCTACGTCTTGCCTCCCTACCCTTTGGCCCCTCCTGCTTTACAGAAGGAAAAAAGTTCTTAGTACCAACCCCTCCATCTTGACACATTTCTATACAGACATATCCCTACCTCGTTTTTCAGGACTAATCACTCTTCCTGTGCCCTGATATCCATCCTCATTGGCAGACCTAAAGACATTGTTCCATCGATGACATCCCAACTCTGCTCTCTGTACCTTTAATCTATTCCTTATCACTGGCTCCTTCTTCTCATCCCATGTATGCCTAAATCTATCTATCATTCATTCATTAAACCTGAATTCACCACCTACTATATGCCAGACATCATGCTAATTAGGCATTGGAGTTACAAAGTCCCTGCTCTTAAGAACCATCTAGTAAGAAAAAACAGAGAACAATTAAACTATATTGTTATAAATAGTATAACAGATGTATATATGGAGTGCTACAGAGCACATCTAATCAATATTGGAAGATTAGCTAAGGTGTTTCTGATACAGGGGAAACTATGGCTGAATCTTGAAAGAGAGATAGGAATTAGCCAGGCAGAGAAGAGAATAAAGGACATCATTCATGTTGTCTTTTCCCCTGCTTCTTTCTTTCTCCTTCCCCTCTTTGTCAAAGTTGTTTTAAGTTGTTTTCAAAGTAATCTGCATCAATAGTTGAATATTCATCACACACTCATACATTCATGAATATCATACATTCATTCCCATATTCACTTCACTACTACACTGCTACTGTGAAACTGCTTTGAAAAAAGTTTCTAATGACCTTATCTTACCCAGTATTTCCAGACTTTGAACATTTCTGATCATTTCCACCTTTTCAAAACTCTTCTATGTCTTTAGTATAGGAGTCAGCATTCTCTTGCTTTTTCCTTTTACACTCTGAGTCATTCGCTCCTTTTCAATCTCCTTTGTTGATTTCTCCTCCTTCTGGGAAACTTTAATGTTCTTTTTCCTCAGAATTTTGCCTTTGATCCTTTGTTCTTTATTCCCATTGACTTACAAATCTATATCTCAAGGAGTATCTCTTTTCTAGGATTTGACACATATTCTGCACATCTTTACCTATATATCCAAATACCACTAAAAAAAAAGATTAAAATCTCAGCTTTTTTCCCTCAAAAGCCTGTTCCTATCTCAATGACTGACTTTATTCTCCATTTAGTTACATTAGCCAGGAATCTAGAAATCACCCTTAGCAACTTCCTCTCCCACTTTCTCCAAATTTGTTTAATTCAGCAACTGTCATTGGTTAAAACTAAAAGAATGGAAAAAGATATATCATGAAAGCACTACACAGAAGACTTTAGAAGAAGACACATTACCAGGTATAAGGAAGAACAAAACTTAATGATAAAGCGTTCAATTTGTAAAGGAAAAAAAAAAAGTTGCCTGCCATTCCAGTTCTACAAGAATCAAGCCATTTACCACTGCAGTTGCGTACTGACAGTGCACCCTGAGGGGAACTCAGGATAGAGAAAAACTGGAAACATTCAACAGTGCTTTGGATATACAGGCCCTTAGATAGTTAAGATGCATATCTAAGGAAAGTTTCAAATGATCCCAGATTCTTACATCTTCCCATACATAGAAAAACACTAAAATCATTAACTTGAGATGTTTATTCTTTGTGATTAGCAGTAAACTTTTGATGTGTGACATCATGTTTTTCCCAGCAAAAGAAACTCACGTATATCCTGGCTCCTCTGTTACCTCTTTGGAGCAGTTCCTCACAGGTATCCTAGAGGTTCTCTTCCAGTCAATAGTCCTCAGTAAGGTCCTGAATAAAACTTAACTCACAAGTTTTATGTTGTGCATTTTTCTTTCAGTCGACAAATTCATCAAGAAGGCACGACGATTTTAAATGTGCATGTGCCTAATCAAAGAACTTAAAAATGTATAAAGCAAAAACCAGTAGAACTAAAAGAAGAAAAGAACAAATCCATGATAGTAGTTAAGACATTAACACTCCTCTCTCAGTAACTGATAAAACAGGTGGACAATAAATGATATTTTTAATTAAAAAATTTTTTTTTTGGCCATGCTTGGGATCTTAGTTCCCTGACCAGAGATCAAATCTGTGCCCCTCACAGTGGAAGCATGGAGTCTTAACCACTGGACCACCAGGAAAGTCCCAAATCAGTTTTTTTTTTTTATCTCCAGGCATATAAGAAAATCTCTGTCCAGTCATTAGCTGACCACTAAGCTAACAGAACAGAGACTTCAGTGGCCACACACAACAACTAACAGACTTTACAAAACAGTTCAGAAAATGTACTAAACAACAACTACTACAAGCAGTAACAATGAACTCTGAGGAGGGAAGAGAATCTGGTTTTCAGAGTTGTCACATTATGATACTCAAAATGTCCAGTTTTCAACAAAAAATTATGAGGCATCCTAAAAAATAAGAAAGTATGGCCCTTACACAGTGAAAAAAGAAGTCAATAAAAACCAAGTCCATGAGGAAGCCCAAATGTAAATAAACTATTTTAAATATGTTCAAAGAGCTAAAAAACAAAACAAAAAATGTCCAACCAAAACTGGCTCAAGAAGCAACAGAAAATGTGAATAGACACATAATGAATAAAAATATTGAATCAGTAATTTTAAAGCTTGAACAAATAAAAAGCCCAGGATCAGATGGTTTCACTGGTGAATTCTACCAAATATTTAAAGAAAAATTAACAACAATCTTTCTCAAATTCTTCCAAAAAAAATAGATGAGAAAACAATGACTCATTTTATGAAGCCAGTATTAACTGAATATCAAAGCCAGACAAAGACATACCAAAATAAGAAAACTGCAGTCCAAAATCTCTTATGAATATATGGAAACATCTTCAACTAAATATTAGCAAACCAAATCCCACAGTATATTAAAAGGATTAAATAACATGGTAAGTGGGATTTATCCCCAAAATGCAAGGTTGGTTCAACATATGAAAATAAATGAATGTAATACACCATATTAATGAAATAAAGGGGGAAAACACATGATTATCTCAATAGATATATACAGAAAAAGCATTTGACAAAATCCAACACCCTTTCGTGATAAACACAAAACAAAGTAGGAATAAAATAGAATTTCCTCAACCTGATAAATGGTACTGATGAAAAAATCACAGCTAACATCATACTCAGTGGTGAAAAACTGAAAGTTTTCTCCCTAAGATCAGCAACAAGACAAAGAGGTACACTCTTTCCACATCTATTCAACATTGTACTGGAAGTTCTAGCCAAGACAATGAGACAAGAAATATAAAGCATCCAGAGTAGAAAGGCAGGAGTAAAACTTTTTTTTTGCAGGTGACATGATCTCATATACAGAAAACTCTAAACACACACAAGTGCAGTAAAACTGTAATTGCAGGAAATAAGATCAGCACAGAAAAATCAATTTTATTTCTATACACTAGCAATAAACAATCTGAAAATAAAATTAAGAAAATAATTCCATTTACAGTACCATCAAAAACAATAAAATATTTGAGAATAAACTTAAACAAGGAAATGTAAGACTTGTACACTGAAAACTCTAAAAACCTTGTAGAGAGAAATTAAAGCATACCTAAATAAGTAGAAAGTCATCCCATGTTCATGGATTAGAATATTGTTAAGATGGCAATACTCCACAAATTTATCTACAGATTCAGTGTAATCCCCATTAAGATTCTGACTGCTTGGTTTTTGTTTTTTGTTTTCTTTTTTCGGAAATGGTCAAACTCTTCCTAAAATTCATTTGGAAATGCAAGGGACGCTGAATGGCCAAAACAATCTTGAAAAAAAAAAAGGATTCACTTCCTGATTTCAAATTTTACTACAAAGCTACAGTAATCAAAAGAGTGTGGTCATGGCATAAGGGTAAACATATAGACAAATGGCATGGATTTGAGAGTTCAGAAATACGGGTTCGTGCTCCGGTCCGGGAAGATCCCACATGCCGCGGAGCGCCTGGGCCTGTGAGCC